GAAAAACTTTTTACTAACTTTAAAAAGTGCATATTTTGGATGGAAAATGTTGTGTTTCTTGGATATGTGGTTAGTGCTAAGGGAATTGAGGTATATGAAGAGAAAATAAAAGCTATTAAAAAATGATCAACACATAAAAGTATAACCGATTGAAGAAGTTTTCATGGGTTGGCTAGTTTTTATAAGCGATTTGTAAGGAATTTTAGCACACTTGCCACACCACTCACTGAAATTGTTAAAAAGAGTGTAGGTTTTAAATAGGGCAATGAACAAGAGCATGCATTCAACATTATTAAGGATATGTTGTGTGAAGCACCGGTTTTAGCACTACCTAATTTTGACAAAACTTTCGAGATTGAGTGTGATGCATCAGGTATAGGAATTGGAGCAATTTTGATGCAAGATAGGAGGCCGATAGCTTATTTCAATGAAAAGCTAAGTGGAGCAGTGTTCAACTATCCTACATATAACAATGAGCTTTATTCAGTTGTTCGAACTTTGGAAACATAGCAGCATTACCTATGGTCGAAGGAGTTTGTAATTCACACTGATCATGAGTTATTGAAGCATTTGCGGGGTCAAGGTGAGCTGAACAAAAGGCACGCTAGACGGATGAAATTTATTGTGACATTTTCCTATGTCATCCGGTACAAACAAGGTAAATAAAATGTGGTTACGGATGCGTTGTCCCGAATATATGTGTTTCTTACTTGTTTAAGTGCAAAGTTGCTTGGTTTTAAGTACATTAAGGAAATGTATGATAATGATTTAGATTTTTCCAGTATACATAAGTTATGTTGTAATGGTGCGGTAGACAAATTCATTAAGAAAGAGGGTTATTTGTTTCGGGAAAATAAACTATGTGTTCCTAATTATTCCATGCGTGAATTGTTGGTTACAAAAGCACACATTGGAGGATTAATGGGTCACTTTGGGGTTTCAAAGAATTTAGAGATGTTAAGGGAACATTTTTATTGGCCTAAAATGAGGATTGATGTAGAACGAACTTGTGATCGATGCATAACTTGTAAACAAACTAAGTCTAACGTTCTACCCCACGAATTGTATACTCCTTACCCGTTCCTAGTGAATCTTGAGTTGATATCTCCATGGATTTTGTTTTAGGTTTACTTAGGACTAAAAATGGTAGGGATTCAATATTTGTAGTGGTCGATAGGTTTACTAGGATGATGCATTGTATTCCATGTCATAAAATCGACGATGCCACTAACATAGCTGATTTGTTCTTTAAGGACATAGTGCATTTACACGGAGTCCCTAAGAGTATAGTGTCGGATAGAGATTTTAAATTTCTTAGTCACTTTTGGCAGATTTTGTGGGGGTAAGTTAGGCACAAAATTGTTGTTTCTACTACATGTCACCTACAAACCGATGGACAAATCGAAGTAGTCAATAGGACTATGATTCAATTGTTGCGCACTGTGGTTAATAAAAATTTGAAAAGTTGAGAAGAATGCTTACTTTTCGGCTACTTTCTAGTCTCTCTCTTTTTGATGCAGATACAAATTCGAGGACGAATCCTTTTGAATAGGGATGGGATGATATGAGCACGGAGTCAAGCGCGTCAAAGTCAAGGCCGAAAAAAGATCCGTTGATTATCAAAGGAGGTCCGATGACACAGTCGAGAGCAAAGTGGGTGAAAGGGGCGATGGGATTGCTTTCTCAAGTTACGGTGGACGAAACGTCGATCACAACAAGCAAGGAAACAAGTTTCATGTTGGGCTCGGGAGAAGAAACTAGATGGATTAACATGATTCAAGTAACGGAAGGAGGGTCTGGTCAAGTTAACTAAGCGACCGCATAGTTAACCAAGCTATGCGATAGCATAGCTTATTGCAGAAAATCCAAGGCAGCCAAAATTGGTCTATACGATCGCATGTAATAATACTATGCGGCCGCATAGTGGTTTTAGAGGTGTGAATTTCCTAATTATGTTAGAATTTTTTTTGTATCTTTCGTAATCTCTTAGATTTTATTTCTGTTTAGACTGGGATTTATATGGTTTCCTTATAAATAGGACCTATTATTTCATTGTAACAAACAACATTATTATTGAGATTTATTGAGAGGAAAATTTGCTTTCGAATTCTTGTTCTTCATTGGACAAATCACGAACTTATCAAGATTCTTCTTGTGGCGTTCAAATCAAACGAGTGAGAGTCTCAAATATTCAATCAAAAATGTCAACAAATCATTTGCGTATTGTTGGTTATTTTGATTATTTATTTTCGAATCAAATCTAAAACTTTGATTATTTTGGCTTTCTTGAGTTCGATTTCAATCTAATCATGGGTTTCGTAGTTCTTCGCTACGTAGGTTCACATCATGAAGATTCAATGAAACACTTGGAAAAATATTTTCTAACTCATTCTTATAATAATTAAAAGAGCTTTTTGCCAAATGTTAAGATTAAGATATCATTTTAATGTGTTCTATATCTTGATTAAATCAAGTGGAGTATATCAAAATACTCTTAATAGGAGGTCATCTATATAAATGTAAGGTGGGGCCGCCTCAATGAAAATTGTTCAAAAACTAAAATTTTCTAAATACTTATGAAACCCAAGAGTGGTTTAGGGTTAAAATAAACTAAGTCATGAGAACTATGAACGATTTAGAAAAGACATCTATATGAGTATTACTGTCTTCATTTACAACAACGGTTGAATGGTTCAAGACATCACGTTCACAAATTAATCGAGTAAATTCGATAGTATTTCACTAAGGAAAGTTCAAGACTAGAAGCTAATTTACCTGATGCAATGTTTTTCTACTCTCTCTCTCTCTATACAATGCATCATATTTTTACATAGCATGAGCATATTCGAATTTCCATTCATGTGGGGGATTGTTGAAATTTGGTTTAGAGAATGAAATTAAGTATGAAAAAGTGAATTTCGTGTCAACTTCGACCAAACATTCGGACTTGATCATATAGTCAAATTATGAATATAAATAGACTAACTCGTTCTACTCATCAAGTAGATCGTCGTGGCATATTTAGAATCTCAAAATCAATTTTGGATAAATGAGAAATTGTTGTCCAAAGCTAAATAGAAAATAGGAAATATGGGCTGAAAATGGCTATCTCCATCACTCACCTATCGCTCGAGAGATATGACTAACGCTTGAGCGACAGACCAGCGAGAGAAACTCTGATGAATTTAATTACGCTTCTACGAATTAAACTTGAATTTTTTTATTTTTTAACTTAACAACCATTTACATATACTTACGTCCCAACAATATTGAGGTAATTATATGATTATCGAGTTTGAATAGGCGCAATCTTCCTACAATAACACAACTGATTAAATGTTGAGGAGAGAAAAGAGGGTCAATTTTGGACTTTCAATAATCATTAATAACATGTAAATGAGATGGGCGAACTATCTGAGTCTTAAAATGAAGGCCCAACATGTTGATCCACACAATATGGCCCAACTTAGTGATCCATGGCCTGTTTCAAATCTTTTCTGCAGGTAAATTTCATGGGTTATTCTTCTTGTACATAATGGGCACCATAATGGTGTCCATCATGGACACATGGTGCCCATTCATTGGAGGGAGTGTTGGCTGCCAACACTCCCTCCAATGAATGGGCACCATGTGTCCATGATGGACACCATTATGGTGCCCATTATGTACCACTAGCACATCCCAAATTTCATTTATGGTTATTGAACTTCAGAGAACTCATTTCTCAATTGGAAAACTAATTTCAATTGGTTGCAAAGTTTACTCCAATATCATTTACCGTCTGCTAATTTGATAAAGATTACTTAATTAGCAGTTATGGCGCAATACATGTTCCGCGTAATCTATGCATGACATGTCAATTTACCATTGTTGCACATCATAAAAGTGTTAAAAATATAAAAATACATCGTCTAACCTTTAATTTAAAGATGTCTTACCATTCTTATTTTTAAGTATCTTGTAGTGAGTACATGAAAAACGTATTACGTTGCCAACTAAGTAATTCCTATCAATTTTGGTGAAGAAAGGTGACAGTAACAAAATTTAAAATTAAATTGAAATTCAATAACCCGAGTCAAATTGAATTTTAAATTGAATTTAGTGAGAGCCGATAAAATTCGCCAATTTTCTGTCCTTTCATTTTTCTCCTCCCTCCATTCATAATTCTATAATATGCAAAATTTCTTTCCATCAACGCCATTTCTTCCCAATCGCTTCTCCAATATGGAAGACCCATGCTGTGAAGACCTTGTGATGTCATGAAATTGCCAAAATGATGTCATACCATGAAGTTATTGGACTCCATCATATAATGTTATAATCAATAAGCCCATTTGATGATACTTCTGGAACCTATAGTGGGTTGGTGAAGTGATGACAATTTCTTGGTCCACTTCCATTCACATCCTCACAACTCAACTTTTCAGTATTCATTTGTTGACACATTGCCATTTCCTCAATCATCATAAACCTTCACAATTTCAAGATTCTTCTTTTCACATACAATATTTGTACAAAGAACCAAAGAAAAGGGATATATAAACACTTTTGACCTATAAGAGCACTAAGAACAAGATATCCCAACTCCACCTCACCCCCTAAATTAGTCCCCCAATAATTTGAATTTTTTATTTCAGGAGTTACGAGTTATCTTGAAATTGTTGTCGTCCAATATATTTTTGACACATCATCATTATTTTCTTACTAAATAGAAAGATAAAAAGGTACAATGTTCCAATCGAGGTGCCACAAATGTGCTAACATCTTTCAATTCAATAATAAGAAGTAACGTATTGGACTGTATTGAGATGAGACACGCACGTAGTCTCGTATTACTCTTTCCCACTGCCACTTTTTGCCCTTTTCTTTAAATAATAACCTTATCTGGCCTAAAACCTCTGTATCTATATTCTTGTTGTCTGTTGAGTTCCCAATACCATCAAAACACATATTTCTACACCATGAGTGTGAGATTTTCATTCTTCTTAGTTTTAGTTTTAATGTTATTTGGGTGTGCAAAGTTAGATAATTCCAAGGACAAGGAAGAGTGTGCACAATCATTGGTTGGTTTAGCAACATGTCTTCCTTATGTTGGGGGTACTGCCAAAGCCCCCACACCAGATTGCTGCAGTGGCCTCAAACAAGTGCTGAAAACAAACAAGAAGTGCCTCTGTGTGGTTATTAAAGATAGAAATGATCCAGATTTAGGCCTCAATATCAATGTTACACTTGCTTTAAATCTTCCTCAAGTTTGCAATACCCCTGCCAATGTTTCCCAATGCCCTGGTAACTACACTGTCCTTTCTTCAAAGGTCTAAATGGACCTTTTACATTCAGTTTTTGTAACTTATGATTCTTTGATAAGATAGATTGAACAGTACTTGTTAATCTTAAACAATAAAAATATTTAAATCTTGTCAATTATACTGTTGAGTCATTTTTAGTTGTCTAATTTATGAACATTTTTGCGTTCAATTTTAGCTCATGTTCTGTTAATTAGATGGATTTTACAATATCTAATGGTAAGAAAGAAAAAAAAATGTTAAAATTTTATGCATTATATTGTACTCGATTCATATTTACTATTACGTACTAAACATGATGTTAAAGTAGCCTTCTTTGCCAGAATCAATTTGTGTCTAAGTAGACTCGTGTTTGAATTTTAACTACTTATTGGTTTGTTTACTACGGTGGACCATATACTAGTAAAGAGCATAAAAATATGAAGTGCTGCTATTATGTGTAGAGTCATATCCGTCTTATGGAGTACTATGTACTACCGTGCCTCCGAAGCTTGGGTTGTAGAGAAGATTGAGTAGTAGTTGATATCATTATATTTTGTAATCACGGTCCTGAACAAGCACTTAAAATAGGCTTCGATCCCTGTATGAATTTTACGATTTTATCATTTAATTGATTTTTGAATACTCTATGTTGCAGATCTCCTTAACTTGCCTCCAAATTCACCAGATGCTCAAGTGTTCTATCAAATTGGTAAAAGTTCCAGCAATAATACTGCAAGCTCCCCAGTAGCAGGAAGGCCAGTTCCTACAGTTGAAGCCAATTCTACAAGTGCACCTGCAGGAACCAGTAGTACTCCTGGAACAAGTGCACAGCAAAAAAATTGTGGTTCTTGCATAAGAAACAAATGGCTTGGAATGGAAACATTTGGTGGATTAATCCTATTGTGGGGTTTCAGTTCAAATTTGTTAATGTAATGGCAAATAACTTCATGAAATTCAGATGTATTATTACTCTAGTTCTATCACAATACTTGAGGCTCATGTTTTTTCGAAGACCCTTTTTGGTGAAATAAAGACTCGCTCTCTAATTTGATTTTGCTACTTCTACATAAAAAAAAATGTATATAATGGATTACATAATATGATGTTGAGGGAAAATATTAGATGCAAATGTTGATTGTGTTTTAAATCGGCAAACGATAATGTGCCAGTTTTAAAAAAAAAAAGTTTCAAATCTCCATCGTAACCTTGTTTAATTAAAAAAAAAGGTTTAACCTTCCTTCCACATTCTTACTTGGGACTTTGAGGGTGTGTAGAGAAATCTTAAAAGAGTTATTGGATTTTAGAAATTGTTTAGGAGATTCCCAATACCTGAGGAGGACCTCGAAATCTACTCAAGGGGTCCCAAGTAAATCGAGTAATGTTATTGATATTACAACACTAGTTTAGATGTCACTAAATGTCAATAAATGAAATGTACAATTAAATAAATCATCTAATTTCACATTTATTTGAACATAACACATAATATCACATAAATTTATGCTAAATAACGTTATTCAATTAAATTTAAGGTGGGGGTGGCGGGTGAACAAGCAAGAAAATGGGTCGTAGAAGCAAGTGGAAATTTATAAATTAATAAAATTTCTTTTATTTATTTATCTTCTATAATTGGACCACAAATCTAAGTTCGCTCATATGGCCATATAACGCTCCAATCCTATCTACCATAAGAAAAGGGGAAAAATTCATATCTAAGAGTTTAATTATGATCAATGTTAAAATTAACAAATAAGGTTTAAAACTTTAAAAATCAGATATTATTAAAATTTATTTATGAAATAATTAATTAAATATATTAAGGTCACAAATCTATACAATTTGGTCACAAATTATTGAATTAATTGATTACAATTATTTTTCGATCACAGATAAAAAAATTGTATAGATCACAAATTATTTCTCAGTCACAAATCAAAAATTTAATACGTCACAAATTATTTTTCGATCACAAATCAAAACAATTTATTCAACAGGCACAAAAACAAAACTTTTATAAGTCAGAACTCATTTATTGATCACAAATTATCATATTAATTGATCATAAATAATTTTTCAATCACAACTTAATAAATTATAAGTTACAATCACATTTTTTAGGTTATATATTATTTGTTGGTCACAAATTAACCAATTCACAATCAACCCATTTATTAGTCACAAACATCCCATCACATCCCATCCCATCCCATCCACGACCACCGCACAACCACCATGACCACCACCAACATCACCACCACCTTCACCAGATCGTGCAAAACCACAACCATAGCAACCACTACACACCACATCAACGCAAACCAGCCACCGCAGCAACGCAAATCCACTTCCACAGTAACCACAACATCACCACACACCAAACTCCGGCACCATCATCACTGCTAGATCGCGACATCACCAAACACCCGACACCAAATGCGGGTGTCGTGCGCACTACATGATACCACCACCACAAAATCAGTTCAAAAACTACCACAAAAACCACCTAAAAAACCATCTCAAAACCTCCACCACTTGTGACCACTGCAGCACTACTACCTCGCCACCACTTCTACAACCAGGAGCGGATACAAGGGGGGGCTTGGCTGGGATATAGCCCTCCCTCAAGGCCCAAAAAAAAATTTTTTTTAAGGTTTTTTTTTTTTCTTAAAATTGTTTTTCATGTGTAAAAATTTTTTTTTTTCGCGTATTTGCCCGGTTTGAAATTTTGTAGCTCGGTCTTAGATCCAATCCTGGATCCGCCCCTGTCCACAACCACTACTAACCACTTCCACAACCACTACTAACACAGCCCAACAGTGTCGCCACCACCAACACAACCCAACAACATAACAAAAAGGCACTGCCACCACCACAATGCACTACAGATCGCTACAAGATGAAGCCGCTAGAGAGGTGGATGAGGCCACCCACAAATGCACTGCCACCTCCACAGTGCACCACCCATGGAATGAAGCCATCAGAGAAGTGGATTGAAGCATCAACCAGACCACATGTGGAATGAAGCCGCTTCGGGTAGCTTTGCCTCGTACAGCGGTGCTTCGGCAACGAGGCACCGCTGCGAATGGAAGCATTGGTTTTGGCATCGGATGACGGGTGGGTGGTGTAGGTAGAGAGTGAGAAGAAAGAGAGGGGGGGAATAATTTTTAGAGTTAGGGTGGGGGGGTGAAGGTGGGGTGAATTAATTTAATTTTATAATATTATTATTTACATTCTAAAAGACTTATTATCATCTAAATTTTGAACAAAAAACTTTTAAATTTTATTTTTAAATTGGGAAGTTAAAAACCATGTGTTGGTGTAATTTCAACAAATATAAATGTCCGTCTCATGTATTTGTATAATTACCTGAATGAACTATACTAGGAATTCAATAATCACAGAAGAGCATCTTCAAGAAACTATTTAAAAGTGAAATATTCTCTATTTTAAAGAGTCAATCATTAAAATTATATTTCAAAAGACTCTTCAAATTAATATTTTAAAATAGAGTAAATTTGACACTCCAAATTTGGAGACTCAAACACACTCTTTATAATTAAATGTATTCAAAATATTCTAATTTTCGATACTCCATTTGTTGATACAACTAAATAATATACATACAGAGAAAATGGAGGAAAAACATATAATAATTTGGATGGAAGTTGACGAAAATAAAATATATAAAAAAAATAGTAAATACATATTGGGAGTAGTAAAATTAAGCTCATTGTGTAAAACGTTCTTACATTCCATTTTTGGGTATTTTTATCTTTAATTATATACATTTGATTGCATGAACCGTCATTTCATCCAATTTCTGTAAATTTTTCCGTTAGTCAATCCAAAAAAATCAATTTGACCACATTTTAATTAATTTTAAAAAGAAAAAAATTATAATTTTATTTTTTTCAATAAAATAATCAAAATTTTAAATAAAAAACAAAAAAAAATACAAAAAATGAGAAACTATTCAACTTTCTTCCCCACACTATTCCACCCCTGCCCTAAGCCAACCAAAACCCATAGCCACCCAAGTGCATCCAATTTTTTAGGGGCATCATAAGAAAAAATTCAACCCACATCTATTTACAACCAGCACCAAAGCCTAAAAAGAAATCCATGGATTTTAGCTAGGGAGCTGGAAGAATTCTAGGAAAGAAAAGACCATTGTCGCCACTAGAGCACGTCAAAGAAAATTGAAAGCCCAAGGGATTGTTTGGTTGTTCATGTCCCGGATCTTGAAGATGGAAGACATAGTGGAGACTGTTTCTAAGGTCAACATTCACTGTAAAGTTTTTAATTGAAATCTTGATTTTTCTTTTCATTTTTTGAATTCTTTCCCTTGATTCTTGAAAATATATTCTTTTTCTTGAACTTTTTTTTTTTTTTACTTCGCTATAGTTTAGAGCATGTGTGGTTTAGCATTTAACCTACTTATTTTGCTAAAGAAAGCTGCTTTTTTAACTAGCAAATCTTACTTATTCAGAAAGTAATTTGCTAATGAAACTACCGTGCTAAAGACATACATTAAATATAGTAGAAATATGCTTCCTATTGTGATTTTAATCTTGTAAATAGCTGAGTCGAGAAGGAAAATTGGTATAGAGATCAACATAGTTGATGTAAAAATTAATATTTAATCACGTTATTTATCTATTAACTTATTTAAATTAGAATGATTTTTAAATGTCAAAACGTGTACAATTGATTTCAGTTTAAACAGGTAAGCCAATCAGTCAAAATTGACTTCAAGTAAGCCGCCAGTCAAGGTGCTACAGGCAGTAATTTGCTTTTGATTATTTTAGTTAATTTAGCAAAATAACTAAGCCGAAACTATTGTATTTTTTATTGTTTGATAGTGAATTATTTTACTCGTATCATGGGTCCGTGTATGTTTACCTTAGGATTTATTACATTATATCTGGTGTTTATCTTTATTTAATTTCGTAATAAATTATATCTTGTAGAACATAAATCTTTTAAGTTGTCCCTGTGAGAACTATACGTAATACTGCTTGTAGGACGTTCTGGCTAAATGACGTATTCTGGTTGAAATAAATAATTGAGATAAATTGTTTAATTAACTANAAATAAATAATTGAGATAAATTGTTTAATTAACTAGGTTTTAGTATTTACAAATCAAAGGTTCTTTTTCAACCGTTGACAAATGGTCTCAACTTGCTAATGCGACGTATTTTCTCCCTTTTCATAAGTATTGTTACACTTAAAAAAATATGCTTAAGGCCTCCTATATAATTAGTCGCTTGAGCCTCAAAATTCTCAAGACCTGCCCTATAGCCACCACACGGTTGAAATTCCAAATTCTTCCCACAATCTTAACCAACATTTCACCATCCCATTAAACCGAGTGCATTTACGGTTGATGGTGAACTGTATGAGCAGATGCAATGAGATGAAAGAGAGGAAGTTTTATAGTTCAACTTGAAACATAAGTGAGAAGGAAAAAAAACGTAGTTATGTAATTTCATTGCCAGCACTTATCACCTCATTTCATAAGTGATACCCCCAAGGGCGGAGGGGGGAGGATCCTGGGGGGGCCAGGACCCCTCCAATTTTTTGACAAAATTATTTTTTATTTTTTATTTTATTTTTAGGCTAAAATTAATTTTTTTTCACTCCCAACCCCATTCCAAAAAAACTAAACCCACTTCACCAGCCCCCCTCCCTAGGCCCAGCCCAACCCAACAAAACAAAACCCAAGTCACCAGCGTGAGCGTCTACCCCCATTTCATTCATCATCTTCGTCTTGCCTCCGTCTCCACCTCTGAGCCTCCGCCTCTGCCTCCACTTCCTCAGCCACTGCCTCAGCCTCCCCCGTCTGAATTCCTTAGTCTCAGCCTCCCCCCATCTAAACTTCGACAGGAGGCTTCGAACTTCGAAAGTTAGCCGCTTTGATTCTGAAGCTCG